CCCCAGCCCCTGCTGCGGTCCCCTTGGCTCTTGGGATAAGTGGGACGGGTGGTTTATCTGGCTGAGCAGGGGGCGAGTCTCCGCTTGGGTTAATCCGAGCCTTGAAATCTCTGCTGCAGAGTTTGTGGTTCTGCGAGAAGAAAAATGGGGAGGAAACAAAACCTACACAGCCTATGAGGCCCTGGAGAAGGACTTTGCTGAGCAGGTGGGTGCTGGGAGGGACTGAACGCTGTCCCTGGGGCTCCCAAGAGCAAGCTGGGGGGCTCTGAGGAGCAGTGGGAGATGGAAATCTGCACCGGGGGAAAGTGTGGAGCAGAGCGTGGCCCAGCGGCTGTAGGGCAGCGGGGTGCTCCCAGCCAGGGGAGCCCAGAGGTGAGGGGATGGGTGAAGGATGTGGGGGCACCAGCACTCCTGGTGCAGGACAGGGCCGCCTCAGCCACATCCTGGAGCAGAGCAGTGGTTTAACTGCTTTCAGCTGTTCCCAGCTAATGCTGCAAGCAAAAGAGTCCAGAAGACGGGCTTTGTTTTCCAAGGGGGAATCAGTCCAAGTGCTGGGGTTCATCTCCCCGCCCTACGTGGTCTCCACTTCCTCTCTGGACTCAGATCAGTGACTCGAACTCTGCTGCTGCCCATGCCCTGGAGGAAACCACGCAGGAACCCATCTGTTTGTCGTGATACAGGTCGTGCATCCCGGAGACCTGAAGAACTCAGTGGAAGTAGCCCTGAACAAACTGCTTGACCCCATCAGAGAGAAATTCAACAGCCCGGAACTGAAGAAGCTGACCAACGCAGCGTATCCCAACCCGTCCAAAGCCAGTAAGGAGGTGCTGGGAGCTCGGGAAAGCAGGCCCCTGGCCACGCAGGGCTGCGTGGGAGAGAGTCCCTCCAGGGGCTGAGGTTAGAGAGAAGTTCTGAAACTTCAGTCTTGGGAGCAGCCCTGGAGAGCATTAGGAAGGGTGAGGAAAGGCCAGCACAGGGGTGTTTGCCTGCCCCAGAGAGGACAGATGCCAGCATGCTTTTCTGGTGCTTGAGAGGCCGGCAAAGTGGAGGAGGGACTGTGCTCTGTGGTACAGAGACAAGGAGGGAATTCAGTGGCCCCCAGGGCCAGCGGTTGGGGGACACTGTGTGCTCCCCAGGGCCTGGCCAGCTCCCTGGGTTTATGCCAAGTGGCACAACTGTTCCCTTTGCACTGCAGAGCCTGCAGAGAAGGGTACCAAGAACTCGGAGCCGGAGAACGTGGTCCCATCCCGGCTGGACATTCGCGTTGGCAAAGTGATCAGTGTGGAAAAGGTACCGGCACAATGGGAGGAGGGGAGCAACCCTCCCACGTGGTGACACGGGCACTTGGGGGGGTGTGTGGGGTCTGCCCGCTTCTCCTCTGCCACCCCAGTCCCGTCCCCTGCTCCTCACCTTGCTTCTGCTTGGCAGCACCCAGACGCCGACAGCCTGTACGTGGAGAAGATCGATGTGGGCGAGCCCGAGCCCCGCACCGTGGTCAGCGGCCTGGTGCAGTTCGTCCCCAAGGAGCAGCTGCAGGACAGGCTGGTGGTGCTGCTTTGCAACCTCAAGCCCCAGAAGATGAGGGGTGTGGAGTCGCAGGGCATGGTGCTGTGTGCCTCCAGGTGAGGCGGCGGGGGACATTGGGGCCATACCCTTCCAGGGGTGCAGTCCAGAACCCCTTCTCCTGCCTCAGAGCCTGGTGGGGCTGAGGGGTAAGCGAGTACCTCCTCGGGGTGACTGCTTCCCCCATGCCCCTCCACAGCGTAGGGGAGCCGCGGCAGGTGGAGCCCCTGGACCCGCCAGCCGGGCGGTCTACGTGGAGGGCTACGAGGGCGGGGAGCCCGATGATGAGCTCAAGCCGAAGAAGAAGGTCTTTGAGAAGCTGCAGGTGAGGGGCTGCATCGGGGGGCTTGGCCGCAGCTCGGAGTAGCTGGGGCTCCAGGCGTTGAGTGGGGCAGTGCTTAGGGCCACGTAGATGCCACTGTCCCCACCTCTGGGTGACTCCAAATGAGCTGTTTGCTGCTCTGTGCCCGTGTTTGCTACTGTCAGCAAGGCCGTGGAGGAGACAAACCTCCCCACCGGCCCAGCAAGGCACCGCTGCCCCGCTGGCAGCCCAGGCCTGACCCTGCTCTGCTCCCCAGGCTGACTTCCGCGTCTCCGAGGACTGTGTCGCCCAGTGGAAGCAGAGAAACTTCCTGACCAAGCTGGGGAGAGTCTCCTGTAAAAGCCTGAAGGGAGGGACCATCATCTAACAAGCGCCAGAGCCGCTGCTCGCCCCTCCTGCCTGGCACCCTCCACCACCTCAGCCAGGCTCTCCTCCCCAGGCTCTGCCGTCTCCTCCCTGGTGCCCCGAGCCAGGGGCTCAGCCCTGCGGGGCCTGGGGGCTCTGGGACTGAATTTGCAGCCTCCCACCTGGAGAGCCACCGTCCCCGTCGCCCTGGGCCTGCTTAGCCAGTGTCCGTGCCTCTGCCGTGGGCCAGCTCTGGGGACTGGCGGTGGCACCGCACCTAAGGGACCTGTGTGACTTGTGCCCGTGGCCTCAGGCTCTACGCTGGGGCCATCGGCTCGCTCCTGGTTGTGCCACGGACTGGACGCCCTGCCCGCTGGTCCAGATCGGGATGGCATGCGTGGGGTGCTGCAGAAAGGGAAGGCTGCTTGCTCAAACCTGTGTTGCTGCTACCAGGGCTGGGGGCAGCTGGCAGCCAGGCATGCTCCGTCCCCAGCTCCCCACTCAGCCTGCGGCCATTGCTCTTCGGCCAGGAGCCTGGGCAGCACCGGTGCGTCTGTCCTGAGCCTGTGGGAGGCCGTGGGGGGTGCGGGCCTTAAACACTGACTTGGGAACCATCTGTCTTGTCATAAACCCAAATAAAACGTCAAGCTGACTACGCCTGGGTGTGCCCGTCTGTCCGGGGAGCG